AGAGTCAGGCCTGAGAAGAAGGAGAGACTGTGGCCTGAGGCCTTGTTGGCCATGTTCAAAGCTTGAAACTCAGGCCAAACATTACATGCTGTTTTAAGCAGAAAAGCAACTTTGTCAGATGTCTGTTTTAAAGGAATATTCTAAGGATTATTGCTTCAGCCAGGACATTTATAGGAGTAGGCCAAGAATTCAGTCCTCTTGGTTGTTTGTCTGTTGGTTTTTGAGACATAATTTCTTGTGTCCTATGCTGGGCTCAAACTATATAGCCATGATGATTTTGAATTTCTGATTCTCCTAATCACCTCTCAAGTGCTGGAATGATGGGAATGTACCACCATACCAGGTTTATATAGTACTGTAGATTGAACCTCAGGCCTCATTCTGCCAACTGAGCTACATCCTTCCCCCAAACTGGGCTTTCTGAACAAATTCACCCCACTAGCTGAACTGCCGGCATTCTTTGGTGGCAGAAGGCAAGTATGGCAGAGGGAACTGTGTAGAAAATACAGTGGAAGTAGTTTTCGGTGGAGCAAAGCCAGGATCCATAGTCCCAAACTAAATCCTTTTAGTGTCCCTTTTCTCTTGGTTTGCTGCCTCCACACAGGATTCATACCCACCTTATACTTCCTGTCACTCTGGCATTAGCCTCTCCGGACAACAGAACAAGCAGCTGCAGGCTCAGCCTGACAGCTTGGTGAAGGGTGAGTTGGGTTTCTGTGTCTGGGTTTGCCTTTCCAAACCTGGCAATCCTGAGTGTGAAAAGAATATATGGGCCCTCTCTGCCTTAGAGCTGGGGCAAAATGCAGTTGAGACAGTAGAATCAGGTCAGGAAAATTGTTTAAGTATGGTTTTATGATGGAGAAATTATTGGAAGAAATTATTTCCACGCCTTGGCCTTCCTCTTCTCATTTTCCTTCCTCTCTTCCTTTTCTTTAGGCTCATTCATGCTTGGCACCAATTCTCCCTTAAGCATCACACACATCCTCCATCCTAGAATGGGATTGCCCACACAGGGAGCCTCCAAGCCTCCTTCTGTCCTGCCAGACCAGGGTGTATTACAGATTTGAAGACTTAAGAGGCACGTGGTGGTGTTTCTTTAGGAAATATGGCTTTGAAACATCCTTTTATTTTTCTTTGGCCATAGGAAGAATGAAATTGCTGGAATGATTAGAAATACTGCTTAGCTGGACTTAATATTACTGAGATTTGGTCCTTTCCCAGGATGGATTCAGCTTCTTGGATCTGGTCTATCTCAAGGAAAGAGCTTTATACATTCATGTTTTTATGAATGGAAGTTTGGGAGTCAACAACTACTGATAGTATGGAACAGGTCAAGACCACCTCATTCCAGAATACTTTTTTGTGTGTTTGTGATTGATTGTGAGATCATTTGGGAAAAAAGCTAAAAACTGAAGGCAAAACATATTTTGAAGGCCATTTTCAACCAACTCATCAACTATGAAACCATTTGCTCCCATTTTCTTGATTCTGTTCCACTGGAAGAAGAGGTCATGTACTAAAAAGCCACTGGTGTAACAGTTAATGCTTGATGTTATAGAGCCTTTAACTAAAGAGTGGAATCCTTATCCAGAGAAGCTCAGAAACTAGGAGTTAACATTACGCTTACACAGTGGCTGTGTTTGCAGTCAGCACCCTGTATCTCTGTCCTCCCCTCTGCAGTCAACACACTATTTTGTGACCCTTTGAAAGCTGCAGACCCGAATAGCCCAGCTGAATGCTGCTTCTTTAGAGTTGAGTTGTTCTAGTGTAGACAGGACATGTGGGTAGCTCTAGCATGGGAGACTTTAGTAGCAGACTAATCAAATGTTTGAGCATGGTCCAGTCTGGATTGCCCCAGAAGATACTGTTAAGTTCCTAAACAGGGAACTTAGCCTGTTCCCTTTGAGTCTTTAGTGGGATATACATGACGTGTTATAAGTGATCCAGCATCTGCTGGGTTCCCAGTTTCAACTCCTCTCTCACACATGCCAAGATCATCAGGGAATCTCCTAAGTGTTCCATGTTCTGTGGTCCCCGTAAGACTTCAACCAATGGTCCTGGGTTGTGGGTTCTATCAGAGGAAGTATCCACGAATCTCTCTCTGTGTCTCTGTCTCTGTCTCTGTCTCTGTCTCTCTCTCTCTCTCTCTCTCTCTGTGTCTCTCTCTCTCAGAGAGATACTGGAGAGGTAGAAGGGAGCATGTCAGGGTGACAGAATGACAGGGACATGTCTTTGAGAAGGAAGTTTATTAGAAACCACTTCCCTAGACATTTGCAGTTTATGTAGGTATTTTTTATGTGAAAAGGGACTTTTCAGAATGCGTTTTTTCCTCAAGAGAGTTCCCTGTGCTGTTCTTTCACGCTGTCCTGTGTTCTTGTGTTGTGTTATCTGTTGTTCCTAGTGTGAACAGGATGACAATGCTGTATTGTTCCAGGGATGCATGATAGAAGCTGCTCAGTGCCTTCCAGTTAGTGATTAAACCTTGCACACAATTCTTGACTTACATAAAACAAGCTGAACTGAATTTCAGGGTGTGTGTGTGTGTGTGTGTGTGTGTGTAGGAATAGATGCACTTCTTAACTTGTTTGGTCTGTTTCTCATGTTGTACCATGAGCAAAGCAGCTACTCTACCTCCATTCCTTCTTGCTGTTGCCTTGAAACAACTATTTGTACTTTAAATCTTCTATGAGCTCCCCAAGCTTATTAAAGAAGAATTGTATTCTAAAGCTGTTTGTGACTGAGAGCCTGGGAAGTATAAAATTGTGCAAGAGCTGCGGGGAAGTATTTTCTGGATATAGAAGACTGAAGAAGACTGGTCTATTGTACAAAGGCTTCCCTGTGATCCAAATATGACAATAAGATGCTTCCAATGTCTGAGATACAGATGGGACTCCAAAGCCTTATGGAAAAGGCTGTCTGCTATTGAAGGGGAATTTGCTCCTCTGGCATTTTTGGTGTTCATTACGCTGAATTCTTAATAGTTAGATGTACCCCCAAGGGACCACTGTCTCACCCTCCCCTAATCACCTGTATCCTAGGGTGGGGCAGTAACTACTTCCAGCTAGGTGACTCTCACTGGAGCAGAGCCTAGTCCCTCAGAGATGGCATGCAGCTCAAACAGACCATGGATTCCTAAATTTTGCTGGAAACATATTTCCTGATGCACTCTGAATTGGATTTCTATGAATATGACCCAAACAGTAATCTTTTCTCCTCTGAATTGTTGGACAAGGGAGCCTCTGTAACTCATTCTGGATTAACGGTAAATGCATGGTGTCATACTCATCCACAGTTCTTAAGTCTGTGTAACTTCTATTCCTGTAATATGAAAAAAAACTATACTTAGTCTCCCTGCCAAACTTCTAAAGCCCCAAACAAAACCCCATGCATTCACCTCCTTTCTTGAAAGACATGCTCCTGGGTAAGAATGTTGGTTTTCAGTGATTCTTTCATCTTCCATGCTAATTATTTCTGTAAGTCAGTCCTGGCCCTCTGGTCCTGACAGATAGGAAGGGATGGACATTTGTCTGACCCTCAGAGGCCCTGCTGTTCTCCTCCCAACATTTCTTCCATACATGGAAACTACCCGCTACTAAGCGACTGGGACTGCGCCTTTGCTCTACACCAGTGACAATGGTGTCTTTCTCTTCCTCACCATCTCTGAGGTGTGTCAGAAACAGCCAACAAACTACTCCTCTCATGCTCCCCTTTCCTCATACCATCTCCCCACAGCTGTGTCTGAACCTGCAAGCCACAGCTTCAATTGAGACATAGGAAGGAAAACATATAATTTCTAAGTCACTGGGCCTGGCGATACACACACGGGAACTGAAGAGTGCAAGGGTGTGTGGGGGCTTGGATACCCATCCCGAGCCGGGCAGTCAACAAATCAATTCCGCCTTCAGAGTGCCCTCTGTTGCCTTGTGATTATGTTTGTGTAAAGTCTTGGGGTCTTTGATCAAAGAATGGCCTTTCAGGCCAGGCCCTAATCCCCTCTGCCTTAAGGTGTTTAATTTTTTTTTTTTATAACAGCTGGGATTTAAGTTTGTCTCTGCCCAGCTTTTGTTTTGAAAGGACTTCTATTATCCGTGGCTTCCCTTTTGGAGGCCAGGATGGATCATTGGGTAAACTGAAAAGCGAAAGAGGATATGGGAGGAAATGGGCGGGGACTCTGAATTAATCTTCTGAGGAAGAATGTTTGATCAGTGGGGAGGATGGAACCTCGGAGGCTGACAGCAGGCACCTTTGGGAGGCGGCTGTGATTGGCACCTTTGAAGCCTCCTCGGGAGCCAGAGTCCAGTGTGTCCGAGCTTCCTCTGTCTGTGGGTGGTGGTAGTAATAATGTCGCAGCTCAGAGGATTAATTGCAGACAAGCAGAAGGATTATGAGGGGGTCTCCCGGGCACTAAAGGAACACTTCGAAGCAAGCCTCTGATCTCTCGGCCTTGGAGGAAATTAGTAGAAGCCAGCTTTTTGGGGGGGGAGGGAGTAGGGGCATTTAGGATATTGGAATGAAATGTAAAGAGGATATTGAAACAGGGAGAGAGTGAGCAAAGAGTGCTGGTCTCCAAAGACAGTGTCCCCCTGTCGCCCTGTTGCTGCTTGGATTGTGCAAAGTTTAACCCGTTTACACAGACAGCGCCTTGGTTATGGTCAAGCCAACGGCTTTGTACATGTTACGCAACAAGTTACAGAAGGCAGACTGGCTTAGCCATGCTCACCACGTTCGTGGGTGGGGCATTCTTCCCCTCCTCTGCCAGATCTCACAAAGTCCTGACAACAAGACTCCGGGTATAATTTTAAAACAAGTCAGGGCAGTACTGATGCCCTATCTGCATTAGCTATCTATTGTATATTTTACTTCTTACCCTCTGGTTCCAGTCGGGGTGCTGCCAATAAATCCTGTGTTACCATTAAAGAGGCCATTCATCACAAGTCCTAATGCGATTAATCAAGATACACCACAGTCCCCTTAAAATGAGATCATTTTGATAAATCATGTATGACATGAAAAGACTTTATTCCTTTTAAGTGCAATTTAGACTGTAATTTTTTCCCTCATTCATGATTCATGGGAGAAACATGGATAAAATTCCTGTGCACAGTTACACCTTATCTACAGCCATAACTCAAAACTGCTTTTAGATGAAAATTCAGGGTCTTATTCACCAAAGCTGAATGCCAGCTCGTTATTTTCTGGCGTTCAGTAGTCCAAAAATAATGTCCATGCATTAAACAGCATTCTCAGAAAAAGAAAGGAAGAAAAGTTGGAACTGGCAAGGCACCAGGCCCATCAGTTATGCTGTGTCATCTTTAATAAGGAAGATATATCAGATGTCCTCTTGGAGAATCTGTAAGGCCTCAGCCTTCTCTGCTCCAATTTAGAATGATCTGGAAACAAAAATGGTGGTATCAGAAAAGTCAAGACTTCAGCTGCCTCGCAGGACCAGTCTCCTGTTGCTTAAGAGAGTTGCATTTTTGTTTCCCTCCATCTGGTGTGGTTCTTGCTTTCTTTCCTGGGCCTTTTCTCACTTCAGAAGTGAGTTCCCCATTCCATGAGGTCTAAGTTCTAGGTTGGAGAGCTGCTTGGTCTGCAATAGCCCCCACCCCACAGCTGTCACGATAATTTGGGAACAATATTCATAACCCTCCAATAGAAAAGTAATTTGAAAATGTGCCTTCTGGTGAAATCCATCAAATTTAAGGTCACATTTCTGGTTAAACGGCAGACACTGATGCTATTCATTAAACTGAAAAATGGCTTGTTTCCCACCACACTGAAATAAACTCTGGGCAAATGTGTAGTCATGCTGGCATGTGCTCGCAGAGGAAGCCAAGGGGAAGGCAGCTCTGTTTAGTTTGGACATGAGAAGTCAACAGAGTTTCAGGCCTCACTTAAAACAGGGACTTGAGAACATTGGTTGAAACAAACTCAAACTATTACAAGTTCATTTGCCTTATTTAGAGAGTGAATATTTGAAGCATCTGGGGGTCTAAGATTATAGATTCACTTGTTTGTTTTCAACACTGATACCTATGAATAAGGACTTAACCATGATGTATCATGATTCTCCTGCTGTTCTTGGGGATGTTTTTTTTTTGAGGAGTGAGTTGAAGTACAGTATTTGGATCAGGATTAACTCAATGATACCAGCATCATACACATATCCTTTCACAGAACACAGCAAACATGACAACTGATTTGGACTGTCCCGTTTGTACTCATGGTTTCTGTCAGATGCTGACACCAAGCAAAGCTACCCTGTACCTTAGTCATTTTTGTTTTTTTAATTTGGTGTGGTTATTTTTCATTGTACCTAGTTATGAGTCATGCAGGGATTTCCATGGAAGTGGGCAGCATACTTGGTATACTCCCACCAGAACCTCTTGTTACTCCCTTTCTTAACTCCTTCCTCCCCTTGGTCCTGCTTACTCCCCCCAGCGAGCTTCACTCTGCGTCCATATAGTCTGTGCCTGTGTGATTGTCTGTGTCTGTATAAACTCTGTGCTCCACAGATGAGGGAAGGCATGCAGTTTTTCCTTCTGAGGTTGACTATTTAGCCACATCCATTATTCGTTAATGACCTAACTTCCTTGTGTTTTATGGCTTAAAAAGCTCTATTGTGTGCACACTCCACATGTTCTTTCTCTGTCCCTTTGTTGTTAGATGGTTGGACTATGTCCATAATCTACCTACTGTGAGTAGCGCCACAGCAAGCATTGATGTGTGTCTGTCTAGTAAGTTTTATAAAATTGCACTTATTTATGTGGCTGTGTATGTACGTCCATCCATATGTATGTATGTATGTATGTATGTATGTATGCATGCATGCTCATGCATGTGTCTGTACACATACCATGGTGTATATGTGGAAGTCAGAAGACAACTCCCACCATGTGGGTCCCTGTGAATATTGGAGTCAGATTATCAGACTTGGCAGCCAGCACCTTTATCCACTGAGCTGACTCACCAACACCCACGGTGGTAAGGTGTTTTGGACATAGATTTCGTGATAGTTAGGGCTGACCTTAAACTTTTAATAACCCCCTTCCATCAATTACCAAAGTTGGATATGAAGGAGGTGTGAGTTACTACACCCAGTTATTATCCATTCACATTTAAATGGAATCTTTAAGATTCCCCTCACTAATACAAAGATTGGATTGAAAACATAAAGTGAAGGCTGGAAAGGTGATTCAGTGGAGGAGAGTGCTTGCTGCTCCAGAAGATGCTCCCCTTTCATTTCCAGAACTCTCTTTGTAGCTTACCATCCCTCCCCACAGTTCTAGCTTGCTTCAAAGCCTTCTGCTTCCCTCCTTGGACACACATGTGGCATGCATTCTCTCTCTCTCTCTCTCTCTCTCTCTCTCTCTCTCTCTCTCTCTCTCTCTCACACACACACACACACAAATAGAAAAAACCCAAATCTTTTAAAAATAGGTCATTTAGGCTATGCTTATCTTGTTTTGGTTTCTGTTCCATACTGATAGCTTTTCTTATGGTGAGGGATCTGTGCATTTGGAAGGTTTGAATGTACCTCATTTAAAAAAGCTTCCTAGAGGCTCAAGAGCTGGCTCAGTGGTTAAGAGCACTTACTGCCCTTGCAGAGGGTCTGAGTTCAGGTCCCAGCACCTACATAACTGCTCACATAACATGTAAGTCCGATTCCAGGGGATTTGATGCCCACTTCTGGCCTCCATAGACTCCTTCTTATACATGGTACACATAATCTCATGACAATACATACATACCCACATAAATAAATAAATACATAAATTAATATTTAAAAATAATATTCCTAGCTGTAATAACTTTAATTAAACCTCTAAAAAAACTGAAGTCTGAAATACAAATATGTTTAAATCTCACACAATTGACAATGAAAAGTTTTCTCCTCTAATACAATGTTCTTTCACCCTAATTTACTACACCGTTCTATTTTCTGAGAGAGTTTTTAATGCAGCACACAATTATTTCACACAAGGTTCAGCAGGTTGTCTCATTAAGCTTGCAGAGAATCAGTCCCCTTGTGATCCCCAGAAATATTCTTGCATTGATCCGCCATTAAAATGGCCCTTTTAAATTGTCTCAAGTTTATCAATAGATATAAAAAGCTGAGCAGAATATGTAGGGCAAGATGACCTCGTCCCCAAATGTCAGAGACAGCTATGGCCTGTACTCAGGATTGTTCTGCCACCTGTTGGCTTGGCTTATGCATAACAGGGTCTTGATGTCACTCACAGAGGTCTGTGACCCTCTGTGACCTCTGTCCCAGTTCGTCACCCCTGAGAGAAAAGGAGAGGCCTTTGAGAGTTCCAGCCGCCCGACTTCCGCCATCATTCATTGCCTTGGCCACATGGTCCTTCTCTAACCCTGAAAATATATGGCCAAGCACACTAAGGGCAGCACAAGTCCTCCCCTTCTTCTGGATTATTTCAGTTTCCTGTCATAAGGAAACCCAAGAAGATGTGTCCTTAGCGGATTGCATGTGACAGCGCCTGCTTCTATCTCAGGGATCTGAAGCATGATGGGTAAGCTGTCAGCTTTGAAGGATGATGTTTTCTCCATATTTCCATTATGAACCGGCCTGTCATCTCCTAATAAATTTCGTGCATTGGTATCAATTTATTTTTACAAGCAGAAGGTCTGATGTATTTGGGAAAGGCTCTGACAGCAGATCTGGCCCAGCTTGACAGAGCTGGCTTCACCTAATTTTGGAAAACTACTTTGGTTCCAAGGACAGAACTTGACCCTCAGCCCATGAGAAGAAGAAGGGAAAAAAAATAAAAACAAAAGCCTCTGTGGGAGGAAGAGAGACACATGAGGCAAGTTCCTTCTTTTAAGCCAAAATAAATCAAGCCTGTAGGACTACCATGACATAATATTATTTCTACAACAGCCCTACAAAGCCAGATGGGAAATGCCATTGTTGGTGACTGGCTGGGGATGTTATGCAGTCATGCAGTACATCTGCAGACCGAGCTTGTTACCAGGTTGGGGGAGGGTCTCACTGGCCTTCCTCTCAGAAGGACCCCAGTTGTATTTTGCTGTTCTGCAAGTGAGAAGTGAGGTGCATTCATGGAGTGAGGGGTTACGAAAGATGCTGTGCATGTTTGTCCTTTAGAAAGCTTTGAGTCTAGTTGGAGGGGTACAAAGTTAGAGAAACAAGAAGAAAACAGCATTTCACAAGTGGGAAGGAATAGTGCCTCTTTCTTTGACGCTGACCTTCCTTTCAAAGAATATACACGGCATTTTACTAGTCCAGGCAGTGGCTATTGGAGGCAAACTGCCTGGATTTGTGCCTCAGCTCTGACATTTAAGGTAACTCAAGAAGCTAGGTTAAATTTCCTAATTTGGCTGGATTTCAGCTTCCTCATCTGCAAAACCAAACTGGGAGTTGTAACTGTAGGATGCTGCTGGAGATAGAATGAGTTAATGCTTTGAAAGTGACCAACACCGTTCCAGGCACAAAGTTCCAGAAATATTTACTATATCTTGGTCTCTTCCTCCACCTCTTCTTCCTCCTGCACCTGCTTATAACTATTTTATCATAGCATTTTACAGCCAAGAAAACTAGGACCTAAATAATTTAATCAAATAGCCTAAAATCACACAGCCAAATGAACCCTAACTCTTAATCTTGACAACACTGAGCAGAGAAAATATAGAAAACAGTGCACAATCTTTGGATCAGTCAAGGGTAGAATCCCTGAAGCTTAATTATTATTATTATTATTATTATTATTATTATTATTATTGTTGTTGTTGTTGTTTCCATTCCTGGGCCATGAAATAGTCCCTTTCCTCTATAACTCCAAGCCTGCTTTCTGTGTTCCTGGATAAAAGTTGTGTATAATGATACAGGAGTAAATGCTTAGCAACCAGGCCTCTGTGAAAATGTATGGATATATCATATGCATACATACATTTGTTATATCTTAATTTACCTAACAGATATAGAGAACACAGTTGGTAAAAATTAAATATATGATAGTCTACTGTAATTTTGTAGAGCTACTTGATTCTCTCAGCTACTCTGAATGCTTTGGGCTGAACTCCGGTATCTGCTGCCTGTATCTGTGGTTGTAATTGATAACAAGAGTGCCTCTGACAGGAGTGCAGGCTGCTGTTTAGTCCTTTATCTTAATGAGCACATCACAACTTTACTCATTCATCAATGCCAGTCGCTACTTTACCAAGTTAGAAGTGGTTTTTGGATATCAGATGGTTGTTTCTTCAGATTTTTGTATTATTCATAACTAATGGATATAGATACAGCACCCTATTGTGTTTAATCTGTGTCATTAATATTTCCTCCATTGCCTTTTTAAATTTAGGAAAGCAGCAGGCCAGTGCATCAAACCCTAATCTTCACCTTTTGCAATTTTCCATTTCAAATTCTGCCTCATAATCCACAATGAGACACCAGAGTGATATCATTGGAGAACTGGGGAGAGGATATCGGATGGCCAGAACAGGCACAGATAAGGTCAAGAGCATACATAATAGTAAACTTTGTGATAGAATTAGGAAGTGATGAATTTTCCATGTTACTTTTGTTGTTAAAATAATGTATTCAAGTGTAGATAAGTGCAAATTTAAGTTTAAATATCTGTTTCACAGTGGCTCCAAAACATTTGTAGAAACTTGTCATTGCCTTTTATGAGTTGGCAAAGGCTAATTCTAGCAAACCACTTCATATTATCCTCCAAGGCCAGACAGATCTGAAGTACCCATATTCCTTCACAGTATTGTTAATCGTTTTATTGCTGGGTAAGATGGCAGTTTTATTTATATACCTATATAAAACCTGTTACCTTTTGCATGGATTGAACTATAGCTCACTACAAATACATTACTTGCTTTCCTACACATCCTGCCCATGCTTAGAAAACCCTAGAAGGATGTCTGTATAGACACCTTTGAATATCAGGTTCACTGCACAGTGCTGCCATCCAGCCCTGGAAATCAAGATGTACTTCCAAACTCCTCACATGCTGACTGGGTGCTGTTTGATAAACTATCTGCCTCTTTAACCTCAGTTGTCTTATCTGTAAAATGGTTATAACTGGGACACTGTATCTCAGGCTATAGAGAAACAGATAAAAGAATGTTTATAAAATGCCTGGCCTGTAAGTACTGCTCAAGAAATAAGATGTATATACCACATGAAGTTTCCATTCTGAATGTGTTCCAGTCTGTGTATGTTACACAAGTGAGATCTGCAACAAGAATTAATGAGCTGCAGTACTGACCACTACTCCATCATACTTCTTTGGGAAGGTTATGGTTGGTTCTAAATAGGATACTCTCCTTTTATTAAAATTACCCATCCTATTAATGAACTCCTCTTTATGGATAATTCTTTCTCAGTGCTTGAAGGTGCTGTAAGACATTCACTGTTAATTTAGGACCTGGCTCCCCAAACTGTGAGCTCCAGAGTTCCGCACACGAGACTGTAGCAAAAGGCTCGGTGGTCGGTGATGGGGTGGAGCAGCATATGAGCTGGTAGTTGGAGCGCACACTCTCTGAGGGCTCCCTCAAAGAGAGGGGTGGTACAGGGGAATGGCTTGGTTGGGGTCTGACCAACTTGCACTTTCTCCCTAGGTTTTACTTGAGAGTCAGTAGCCTTGGATGACTTCCCCATTTTATTCATCTCAGTTTTTAAATTTTTCAAAGGAGGTTAACAACAGGGCACAACATGCACATCAGAAAGCCAAGTAATTCAAAATTCTTAGTATATCCTCATGAAATACCAGCTCCTACGTCCCAGTTTATCCTCTTGCTTTCCCATCTGTCTCCTCTAACTCCTAATGCACTGCTTCTCTGTTACAATGCTTGGCTTACAAGCAGTGAGCTGCGAGATTGATCCCCAAGAATCCACATACAAGAAGACCTGAACACAATGTCACATTTGTGAAACTCTATCACTGGGGAGACTGGGGTAGCAGATCCCTCAGGCACAGTGCATATGTCTGTCTCCTTTGTAGTTAGATTTATTTTGTTGTTTATCACAAGAAAGCTTGCTGGTTTTTTTTTTTTGGTTATCTAATATTGAGGGTTATTTTTATACATTTGAATATGCAGCTGCTAAGCGTGTTTTGGAAGCTACAGCCATGGAGATGGAGAAGTTCTTTACGATTCTCATTCTGAGTTGATTAAGAAGCAGCACACACAAACCCAGAGCTACCACCATTTTTTTTCCTTTCGGGATCTTTTTTTCACTCCCCCCTCCCCATAAATATTTGTGAACTGCTGTTCCCAGACAGATGCCCTCTGGGGTTGCTGGCAGAAGTAGGGTCCCTGCAGATGAGATGAAATCAAATGGAATGCTTCAGGCTGTTAGCTTCAAAGGGCTTCCATTCTCCCAAGAGGCCGTTGACACAATCCCCCTTCTACCTCTTTTCTGCCCACTTCGGAATCACGCTCCCCGCCTTCTCTTAGCTAAGTGCCCAGTTTCTGCCAGACTCTTACCACTCTCTTTGTCTTTCCATCATGGGTTAGATTTCACATCCCTACTTAATTGTTTTTCCACCCCTTTTCTTGACTTTTCTTTCCTTGTCTTTGGTATGACATAATTGTTCCTGATCTCAAAATCCCACCTCTCCATCACTGATGCTGAATTTCTGGCTTCCTGCATAGGGGTGTGTCCCTTGTAAACAAACCTGGAAACTTCAGTCTTCAGGATGGTTCTTCACTTCTGTGACTTATTCCTTTGGTCTTTATCTTCCTGTTCTCATCTGTGCAGGTTGAACTACAATAATGATATATGTTAGTGGTTCTCAGCCTTCCTAAAATTGCAACCCCATAATACAGTTCCTCATGTTGTGATGCCCCCAAACATAAAATTATTTTGTTGCTACTTCATAACTGTAATTTTGCTACTGTTATGAATCATAATGTAAGTATCTAATATTCAGCATATCTGATATGCAATTCCCAAAGGGGTCATGACCCATAGGTTGAGAACTGCTAAACTATAGTCTTATCTTTGACTTTAAAGTGTTGTCTTTAGTCAACCATCATGCCTTGGCTTTCTCTTGTTTTCCTGGGAGTAAGTTGAGTACAAGGACTAAGAGCATATAGTTCATTTCAGAAAGTCAGCACAAGTACTTTAAAAAACTTGCCTATAGGATGAATAAGAAATATGTACAGACGTGATTATAGTTACCCATGTGCAGATGCCAAGCTAGAGTATTTATGAGAGTCCTGATAGGAGTTGATGACTCTTCATGACCTGTATATTAAACATTATACATATATATATATCTATATCTGAATTCCTCATATTTTTTTCTTCATACCCTCAGTACAGGCCTTGCCTCCAGTAGATGATTACTAAATACTTGATAAGTAAACTATCAATGCCTCTTCTTTTTAGAAGAAAATGAAATGTTTTTAGAGGAGTCAGCTTTCCGCTGTGGTTTCAGGGAACGAATTGTGATGAGAAGTGAAGATTACTTCTACTTGAAAGAGGCTGACAAATTTCCCAGGCCTGGGATCACTTTATGTGGCTTATGATTTAAGGGTGAGTGAGCATGCCAAAGAACTCCACTTGAGCTGAGTGATGGGGGATGAGTTGTGGAGCCGTGGTCTTCTATGGTATTTTGTGAAAAATAGTCTTGAGATTTATGGCTATTAAACAACTTTATAGCTACCCCCTCCTTGTTCTGAATCCTACAAAAATCTGTGCTCCTGTACTCTGCACTGCTCATGAATGCCCACCCTGAGATGTAGCTGTCACTGCACATGCTCATTAGGACGGGGCCTTGAACATCACAAAGTCAGCTAAGCACATTTGTTTTCTATGGTCGCTGATAATAATTCTCACTCTACAAGTCTCTCCTAGAATGTTCTGCACCTTCACCAAATCTTTTCTCACAATATCCTCAAAGTTCTAGCCTCCCTCCTATATACATTGACAACATGACTACTCATGGTATGGCTAAGGGGGAGGTTTTCCTTTTAGACATGAGAGAGAGAATAGCCAGAGGCATCTGCAAGACTTCAGAGCAGAGAAAAAAAGTAATAGACTGAACATGGATGGGTGACAAGCGAGAACAGGGCACACAGAGAGAAGGAGAGATGGAGGGAGAGAGAGTGGTGGAGGGGTAGGAGACGAAGACAGATGGAGGGATCAAGTGTGAGAACAAGAGAGTGAATGGCCAAGCTGAGGAGAGGGAAGCCCATGAGCTGAAGAAGTTTAGGGTAGGGGAGGAGGTGAGAAGAGCTAGGATGCTAGTATGGACTCTGACATGTGTAATAGGTACTTGGTACTTAGGGAGCCTGGGTACCAGCATGTGCTTTGGTCTGCAGTGATCAGGGAGATGGGTCCTTTTAGTGGAAGGGAATCTGCTTCTCAAGGTCCTAAGGAATGCTGACTTTTATTTAATGGCCCAAATTTGGGGTAATGGAGTTTCCTTTGGACCTGACACCTCATGTTTGATGGACATTGCCTTTTGCAATGTGCTAGTGCCTGTTAGCTGTTACTGATTATTATTATTATTATTAATTATTATTATTATTGGTTTTTTGAGACAAGGTTTCTCTGTGTAGCTTTGGAGCCTGTCCTGGAAATAACTCTTGTGGATCAGGCTAGTCTCAAACTCACAGAGATCTGCTTGCCTCTGCCTCCCAAGTGTTAGGATTAAAGGCGTGCATCATCACCACCCAGCTTACTGACATGATTTTTAAAATGTTGTTAGTGATTCTCCAATTTTGAACGGTTGAATGAATGCCCTCCCTGTGCATGGGCAGATCTTCAGCGTGTCATATGCAAGGCTGGGACAAATACCTCAAGTCTTGGAATCTGGAAAACATTTTTTCATTATCAGATTTTTTTTGTCCATTCTATGGATCACATTCAGTTGCTTTATGAGAAATACAAATTAGATATGTTTTGTCACAAATACAACCAGAGATGATGTTAATATGCATTATTTAAGAACTAGAAAATTACTTAGGGTTGATATCAATAGAAGTTGTGAGGACTAGAAATGAGGGTTTTTATATTGTTAGTTTTCAGGTTTAATTTTTGAAAATTTCAAAAATGTGAAAACGTAAACATTAAGGGCACAGATAGCTAACATATAATATCTGTCATTTCTAACATTTTGATATATCTGTGTTTAACATATTCTTTGATCAACAGAAATAACCACAACACATACTTTATTACCTCCAGCCTAATTACTGTGCCCCTTGGCAGAGGCAAGGATTTTCATGAGTTTTGTATATATCTGCTCTAATTTTTAGATTTTTGCCCATATAGGAAATCAAGTGGTCACATATGTATATAGGTAAAACTATACATACTTGCATTCTCACTCCATAGAAACTTTTAGGTTATCTGAATTGAGATGCTTAAATCAGGATTATTGCTCTTAAACACTAAGTGTTAGTCCTTCGCATACATATATACCATTCCATTGACTTTTCTCATTGGCAATTACTTAAGTTGTTTCAATTTTTTCTGTTAGAAATAATGCAGCAATAAAAGTTGTCTCATGTTTCTACTTTCAGATGTGTATGTGAAGTTTTCTCTGGTTTATTAATTTTATAGCGTGTGTGTGTGTGTGTGTGTTTGTCTGTGTGTCTGTGTGTCTGTGTGTACACATGGACAAATGTTCACATGCAGAGGTAGTAGGACACTCCAGGTGTCATTTGTAGGAATGCCCTCTACCTCTCCAAGTCACTAGAACCAACAAAGCATCCCCTTGGCAGGGAGGAGAGAACAACCTTTATGTACCTCTGTGTGCTCCAGAATGAGGAAATAAAGTCTGGTGATAAATGACTGGCCAAATCCATCTTATTTTAGCCCTCATGGACTTTTAGAATACTTGATCAAATTCTCTCTCGATTATTGACTGTTGGGGGTTTCCTCTTCTCTGAAACTCCTGGCATTTCCTTTGCCTGCTGTCTTCTAGTATGCATTTTTGTTGACTGGAGGACATTCTTTATGTATCTTGAATACTGGTATTTTATTGTAGATATGGCAAATATCCTCTAACAGGAGATAAAAGTAAACTGTGAAGCTACAAATCTCTGCCATCGGCACTAAGGAAAACTGGCAAAGAATCAAAGGTTGGAGAGCTTTTACGGTCTTGGAGTTTCAGACTTGTCCAGATTTCCTTACTCTCACCATAGGCATTTCTTCTTAATACACATAAAAGAAAACATTATGTAAGTGTTTCCTACTTATGCCTCTATTATCTCATACTCAAGCTCCTATGTGTGTGTTGCCTCAAGTCCAAGGCGAGTCCTTCGGCAGGTAGTGTGCAAAGTGAAGGAATTCTCTTGTCTTTTTCTTTCATTTGCTTCCCTGGCTTTTACGAATTGTGCTTCTGAGGATAAGATGAGAACACACATATGGATCACATTTAAAAGGACCAGTGGTCTTCCTCTTGTTAGAAGCCATGCTGAAGAGCAGGTATTTGGAACCTTGATTTCTAGAGTCTCCCAAAACACTGAGCTGTACAAATCCCACCCAAAGCCTGGTTTGCAAAAAAATGTATTTTCCTGGATTCTTTGCCACAAATTGAGTTAATATAATGAAGTGGTTGATGAGCAGCAAAGTAATTAAGTGCTGGACATTGAATGACAGCTACACACCTCTTGTCATCTGTACAACTGGAAGCAAGACTAAACCTCCTGTACCCTCAGCTGCAGAACTCTGACGTCAGACGTGTTTTCTGGAAGGCAGTGTCTTCCAGTTCTTTCTTAGGAAAAGCTTCTCATTGTGTCATCACCAGCCTGCATCCAAGTTCAAACATTCCACAGCATGGTGCCTTGAACGTGCTGTTGGGTTGGGAGACCAGGATTTGCGTGTTTATTTCTAAGGCTGAGGTTCAGCAGAAGCACTGTCGAAAAGGAAGTCTGGAGTATCTTTGGAGGAGTGCACTGGACAGTCGCATCCTTTTACATTATCTGCCCCCCAGCCAGCCCAGAAAGGCGTCCACGTTTAGAACGTCACTGCTGTGCTTCAAGTATCATGTCACCCACAGTAGATCTCACAGGCCAGAGAGACAACCAGCAAATGTAGGGTTTGGGTTTTAATTCAATTTCTGTCTCCTCTACATGGTTGCAGCATGCTGTGTCCAGTGGGCGGGGTGTAGCAAGCCTTTGAAGAACACGTTCCTCTGTGGCTGCACTTTTATCTGTCTGCTTCCAATACACGTGGACCAAGCTTTAGATATCCTGCATGTTCATTATGTTTGCCTTTTAGCTGGAGTGGACAAGCATTCCCTCCAATCTGATCCCACCAAGGGACGGGGCTTCTAATTTTGCTCTGTTCAGACCTCTCTCTGTAAGCCTGCCCTGAAAGCTGCTTAATCAAACACCTCAAATGTCAGAAATGAAGTTTAAAGGGTTTTCGTGGCAAGCAGGTCTAATCTGCTGCTTAGCTCTGACTCCCGTAGTGCAGGTAATCTCTTCGCAGAGAAGGCCTGCTTCTAGCAGGGTAAATATACCCGTAGAATGGATTTCTTCTTCTGAAAAGAAAAACGAGGCATTAATGAAATTTACTTTTTTCATGGAGCTTTCAGAAAGGTTGAAGGCTTAGGATTTCACTTCCAGCAGATGCTCTTTTTGGGATATTAAAAAAAAGTTGCATTTGATTTAGAAATCTCAGTTAAGTAGAATGGTCAGAGTACTTTATGCCAAAGTAACCAAGTTCTTCAGGGCACATATTGGTCATTGGTACCATTCCATGTGTGCTGCAAAGCTGTCATAATTTCTTCCTGATTAGACTACAAGGACATACAGTTCAGGAAAGGGTTAAAAACATAGGCACAAGCTGCCTTCTACACAGTGTCGCACATGATGACGGGCCACAGTTATTTGTTACAATTGCTGAGGTACAATTAGAAAAAACAAAAACCACCATCCTATATGTCATTTCCTTTGGGGAGTTAGATGATTTTCTCCCCAAACAGCAAGATCATTGAGATTCCTTACAAAGGGTTATTTACAGAAGCATGGGAGAAGGGTTACTTACAGAAGCATGGGAGACCACCCTCACTCCCTTCTCTAAACAGCTCCATCAGTGCCAAGTTGCACTCCATCCTAGAGGTTGTCCTCATGGATGTTGCATCATGGAGTCCTACTTGCGGTTAGGCTTCCAAGTGATGTTTCATTGATAACCGTCACAAATACTAAGCATCCATACTCTAAAAATCTAAAATCCAACAAGCCACAAACACAAACCTTTTCAGTGCTAACCTGATGCCACAAGCTTCTCCTGGCCCCATGGAAGAAAAGGCAGGCACACTAAGTCTATATCATATGGCATGATTGGAGGCTGTGTATAAGATGTACAG